TGTATTAGAGATATGAATAATAGTAATTTTAATTATAGGTGGTTAGCTAAAGAATATCTAGAGAAATTTAGAGTTCACCCAAACAAATCCACTAACTTCCTAAGACAAGATGTCAAAAATGATTACATAATTGTATTAATGGCAAAATCCAGTAGAGCAAAGAAACATGCTCTGAAAATGATTCATGGGAACCAGGATAACCAATATGCAAGGTTATAAGGTTAAATTGTTAAATTGAGAGGAAAAAATCATGGGAACAATCATATGTCTTCTAGATAATTATTTGTAACAATGTATATTTGGGGTGAATGCAAATGATTAAATCTACCTCTTGGCATATGTAATACCCACATACTGATACGGGTGATCCGATCCAATATAAGGTGTCACATTAGGTCAATAGAGTGACCCACAGTAAAAAAAATATGAGAAAAATAAAAAAATTGATAACAAATTTAAAAAATGTAAGACAATTTATAAATAAAAACACATTCAGAAATCATTCATATACTAAAAACATAATTAAATCACACATCGTATCATGCAAGTTTCAGATTCAATATAAAGAAAAAACCTGACCTACATAGCCCCTAATTATACAGGTACCATACTCGCAAGCAACGTCAAAGGACCTCCCATAACTGGTGTCAATAACTGCACATGATCGATTCTTTAACCTGAAATGGTAAGTAACAAAGTGAGTTTTAGGAAGCTTAGTAATACAATACTACCAAAAGATGCTAAAAGCCAAGCAAATATATGGTAAAGCATAAAATTGTCTTATTGATTCAGATATCTAAAGTTTTTTGTGACGAGCTGAGATTTAATTCTTCAAGTATTAGATGAGAAATCTATAGTCTAGAGGAAACATTCAGAGAGATAGATTCAAGAGATCAAAAAGAGGTGTCTAGTGTGTTCCCACTAGACCAAAAAATATAAACATAGTTTAAAAACAATAATAGTAGTTTATTTTAGTAAAAAAATATTTTTGAAATCACTGTAATACCCTCCACCTGAACATCGATATACAGTTTCCCATAAGGGTTTATCCTAGGCTCATTGGGTGTAGGAGCCAACCTTTGGGAGCACCTTGGGTAGATAAGGACTTACCCTAGCCGAAGCGTATGATCCACCTAAGAGGAGTGCCCTTAGGTCCATAAGGACATACCCAATGCACAAAGCAAATTAGCCACCCTAAGGGATTACTTAGGGTCTATAAGTCTTACCATTAAGCCCATTGGGTCCAAAAGCCCACCCAATTACTATATTAGGTACATAATTTATTACCAGCTTAATTGGAGCTGAACTTGTAGAAATCCATAACAGATCTCGAATAGTACCCCAATATAAAACAAGATAATCAATATATAGTTATATCATAATCACGAGCCAGATGTACCTTCTATGAGAAACCAGAGATCATAAATCATGTTTTTATTTCAAAACATAGTCAAACTTTTAATATAAAAAATGATATCCATATACATAGGGAACACACTAGAATATCCAATTATTTTTCTAAAGCGCTTGGTGTTATCAAGAAGGGAAACATGAATTTTTTGTAAATTGATTGGATATCAGAAACAAGATCCTTAATAAAAAGGGGTTCAATTTTATTGGGTCTAAGCAAACATTAAAAAATTGATGCTTTAGGACCATTGAGGATTTCTGGTATATCATAATGGTATTCAAGAACCTTACATCAAAATTACTTAAGAGTCGGAACTAATAGAAATGATTCCATTACTCAGTCCATCTGGGGCATTTTAGTCATTACAAATCCTAAAGAATTCTTAGTCATTCAACTTAATAAGAGTAAAACGAAGATTTGCAATATCCAGGATTTATATCGAATTATCATGATTTTGAGTCAAAGCAAATTAAACAAGTCTCAACACCACGATACTCACCAATAATTCAGGCCAATATCCTTCAGAATATTCACTTCTTAATATTGACTACACTAGTTGAACTGATTACCATCAAAATCATCACTGAAAGGATCTCAAGGGGATGAACATGTATTCCTATGATATTATTTATTTATATATTGCAATCGTATCCAGAATGACCGATGCACTTGGTCGTGCTCCAAGAAATTTATAGGCAGTCCAACACTTGGGTTTATAGATGTTTCCAAAGTTTATCCAATGTCATCCATTTATTTCTTGATTAATAACCGAAATTGGATTTATTTCTTATCGATCTTCCAAATTCTTATACGAGTCCTTCGAGTTTAATTCAGTTTACAAAATATTTATCGTATTCGGTTTGAGTCCAACAATAATTAATTATACCTAATTAACCAATAATATTTATTCATGTAATAACCAATACCAACATCTTCTGTAAAGCATGCAAAAAGTATTAATGTATTACCTCAATTTCTAAGCCACATCAGTCGATCAACTAAACTTCATTCGATCGTCATTTAACTTGAATTCAATGTCCCAAAATATCTCAAATACATGGAAAATGAATTATATTAGAAACAAAACTTAAATGTGAAAATCATATTAAATTAAGATATAAAATGCTGAAAAATAGCTTACATGGTTCAAATTTGGTGAAACGTACCACAAATTAAGGCTCAAGACTTCGAAAAACAATACATATGACTTTTCAAATAATTTAACTTTTTTGTCAACGTCAACACAAATCAAAGTCAAACATAGTCAAAGTCAAATCTGACCAAAGTCAATGGTCTGGGTCAAAGTCAATGGGTCAAATCGATTTGAGTTAACTCATTGCGAGTTGACTTAGTTGACTCGGTTCTAATAACAGATTGGTTCGGTCTAATCAGGCCTATTCAGCCTAGTCTGATCTAACCAGACTGATTCTAGAGCCATCCTAACCAAGCAAGAGCTCCTCGTGCAAGGCTAGTGCCTGCCCTGGCGAAAATGGCATGGACAACCGACTGATTACCCCAGCTATGCTTACCATAAACAACCAAAATCCAGCCAAAAGTTAACCTAGAACTCGATGAAATAACCAAGGAAGAAAATAAGGCTTACCCTAACAATGGACAAATAATGGATATCGGTGAGGCGACGATCCTGGTCAGGTATTGGTCAGAAGGACACAGAGAACTCAACGGCATAGGCGATGAGGCTATCAGAAACCAGAATCGGCCTAAAATTGACAAAATCAAAGACGACGGTTAGGGTTTTTGACGAGATTTCAAATCACTATTTACAACAAATGGTGAAGACTTATGATGGGGCACCAGAGGGGTTTTGGTCGAAAGATGCCAGTGAACACGTCGATTGTAGCGATGATGATCATGGCGGCTGGAATAAGTTTAAACAGTGAAGTGACGACAATGAAAAAGATGGATGAGAGGGTTTAATTTTTAGGGTTGGTTTGATTTCAACTGGGAAAGGTCCTTTAGGGATTAAAACATTTGATCTTAAAAGGTTAAGATAATATTTTTATTATTTCAAGACACAAATATGCCTTAGCCCTAATGGCAGGGCATTGGGCACTATGCTTAGTGTTCACTGTTTCAAACTATGCCAACCACTCATTTATTTTTTTTTCTTTTGTGAATAGAGATGGTAGAATTTATGATCGATTCCCTAAAGTTCTTAGAATTTTAAAAAACTAACTTATCATTTTTAAATTCTCACAAATTGTTCCCTAAAATTTAGTTATATAAAATCAAAAATGAATTAAATTAAAATTGGGGTGTTACAACTCTCCCCCTAAAGAAAGTTTTCTCCTCAAAATTTACCTAAAGCGAAGAGATGCAGAAACTAATCCTTCATTGATTCCTCGGTCTCTAGGTAGCTTCTACGGTTCCACGTTTACTCCACTGAACCTTTACCATCAGGATACGTCTATTTTGAAGAACTCTATTATCTCGATTCAACATCTCAACAAGCTCCTCATCATAAGATAAATATGGTCTCAACTCGACAACCTCTACCTAGATGATGTGACTGGGGTTCAGAAGGTATAGCCTCAACATAGACACATGAAAAACATTGTGAATATGACTAAGCTGGGGAGATAGCTCAAGCTGATAAGCAACTAATCTGACTCTCTTCAGAATATGATATGTCTTATCATCTTACGCATCCAAAGTGACAAGAGTTTTGGGCAGATAAAACTTATTTACCTATAGTGTGACATACACACATATTTGTTTTCTTCCATACATATCAAACTCACATTAAGAGTTACACTTTTTTCAAGTACACAAACACTTTTAAACCTAAATTGATCAAATCATTGAGGTACAAAGCTCAACCCTTTTTGATTTTAAGTCTAAGAAACTTGGAACAAGAATGATTCCTGAAATTCTTTAGTTAGGTTCATTATTATAGAACTCTAAGGGAAACACCTTGTCAAAGCTTGAACCAAATACATTTCTCTTTAATCCAATTGGGTAGCAGTTTTTAATCTTGAAACTTCACTTATAAAGTTTGGTTATGAGCTTATCCTTATATACGTTTGGGGTAACAAAATCTAGATCCTTGTCTAGAATCGGGTTAGGATCTTCAAATAAGTAACTCTTATGTTACTCGTAAGGTGATTTTCTAATACGGCAAAAATGCTAACAACATTCATTTTTTGCATAGATTGAACCATGATAGACAAATTACACATGTACATTTATCATATAGAAAGGAATTTACAACAAAGTTCTGGCTTAGAAGAGTACAATCATAATTTGGGGGCATATATTGACAAGACACCTTATGATAGTCGATCGACCAATCTACCTTGAAGACTCGACTCAACCTAAGCTATGATATAACTAAATGTAACAGCCTCAGACTGATACGGGTGACTTGATCTGATTTGAGTTGTCACATAGTAAAAAAATACGGGAAAATAAAATTTTTGATAAAAAATTTAAAAACCATAAAATAATTCATAAATAAAAACACAAATTCAGAAATTATTCATATACTAAAAACATAATTAAATCATACATCATATCGTGAAAGTTACAGACTCAGTATAAACACAAAATATGACCTACATGCCCCCTAATTCTACTGATATCATACTAGTAAGCAACGTCGAACAAACTCCCACAACTGTTGTCAATAACTCCACATGATCAATTCTTTAACCTGAAATGGTAAGTAACAAAGTCAACTTTGGGAAGCTTAGTGATACACTACTACCAAATGATGTTAAAGGTTAAATAGATATATGGTAAAACATAAAACTTTCTTATTGATTCAGGCAACTACATGTTATCTTGAAGAGGTGAGATTTATTTAATTAGTTCTTCAAGTATTATATGTGAAATCTACAGTCCAGAGGAAACATTCAGACAAACATATTTAGGAGATTGAAAAGGGGTGTCTAGTGTGTTCCAACGAAACCAGAAATAAATATAAACATAGTTTAAAAAAGTAATAGTAGTTGTTTTAAGTAAAACATATTTTTAAAATCATTGTAACACCCTCCACCCGAACACTGTTATGTTGTTCCCCAAAACTACATCCATAAGGACTTACCTTAGATCTATTTGGCGGAAGCCAACCTAAAGGAGCAACTTGGGTCCATAAGGACTTACCCTAATTGAAGCGTAAAAGCCAAATAAGGGGATTGCCCTTAGCTCCATAAGGACTTATCCAATGCACAAAGAAAAGAAACCACCCTAAGGGATTGCCTTAGGGTTTTTAAGGTCTTACCACTAGGCCCATTGGGCATCGCCTTAAGTTCATAAGGAATTACCAGCTTTATTAGAGTTGAACCAGCAGAACTCTATAACAGATCCCGGATAATACCCCGATATAAAACAGGATAAACAATAAACAGTAATATTATAATCAATAACCAGATATACCTTGAATTAGAAATCATGTGTACCTTTTATTAGAAACCAAAGATCAGAAACATTCAGAAATTGATGTTTCAGGACCATTTAGGATTTCGGGTGAATCAGAAAGATATTCAGGAACCTTACATTAAATTTTTTTAAGATTCATATGTAAAAGGAGTGATTCTATTTCTCAATCCATTATAGGCATTTTAGTCAGTACAATTCCTGAAAAATTCTTAGTAATTAAACTCAACAAGGGTAAAATGATGATATTCAATATTTAGGATTTATATCAAATTATCAGGATTTTGAGTCAAAGAAAATTTAATAGGTTTCAACACTGCGATACTCACCAACCATTGGGACTGATGTCCTTAAGAATATTCATTTTTAATCCTAGTTGCACTTGTTGAACTAATCACCATTGAACGCATCTCAATGGGACGAATATGTATTCTGATGATATTATTTATTTTTTATTGTAACTGCATCTAGAATGATCGACGCACTTGGGTCGTGCTCTAGGACCTTTATAGGCAGTACAACATTTAGGTTTATAGGTTATTCCAGAGTTTATCCAATGGCATCAACTTATTTCTAGGTCATGAGGGTATTTAGATCATTTTAGTACTTGAGGTTATCCTAGTCATTTTAGAGCTTTAGAGTATTTTGTTCTTTTCAAACAATTCAAAATCAAACAGTTCTACCAATAAATTGGTCTTCATATATTTATTTTGAAATCAGAATATCCGAGTATGTAGGGATATCAAAGGCTAAGAATCCATTACCAAAAGTTTCCAAACAAATCATGAATTTAATCTATGAAATTGTAGTTCTATCAAGACAGGAATGAATTCTTAAGTCATTTTCACTATCAGGGGGAGATCCAGGTCTTTTTTTTTCATTTCAAGGGTATTTCAATCATAGTAACAATTATGTCATATTCATTACTTCTAGTAAATTAGTTCTCAAGTGTTTATTCAAGAATAAGAATTCTATGTCATTAGCCATCTCGGAAGTCATAATCAGTTGTCAGGGTTTTTAGGCAAAACAAAATTTTAACATGTGAAACAATAATTTTATCACGTCATGTATAGCTTTCAGGGTTATTTTCAATTTTATAGACAATCCTTGTCGTTTTATATCATAAGGGTATTTTTGTTTTCTTATCCAAGTATTTTTATCATTTAACCTTAAACGAAATAATAATAATTTACGGATCCTGAGGTCAATTGATTTCCTAATTAAACACTAAACTTGGATTTATTTCTTATCATTCTTCTAATTTCTTATTCGAGTTCTCTGAGTTTTACTCAGTTTACTAACTATTTATCGTATTTAGTTCAAGTTCAACAATAATTAATTATACCTAATAGACCAATAATAGTTATTTATGCAATAACCAATACCAACATGTTCCGTAAAGCATCCAAAAAATAGTAATGTATTACCTCAATTTTTGAGTCATATCGATGATCAATTAAACTCCATTTGATTGCAATTGAACTTGAATAATGTCCTAAAATATCTCGGATAAATGGAAACATAAATTACATTAGAAACGAAACATAATTGTAAAAATCGGATCGAATCAGGAGATAAAATGCTGAAAAACAACTTATCAGGTAAGAATTTTGCAAAACAAATTGCAAATTAGAACTCAAAAAGTCGAAAAACATAAAATAGGTCTTTTCAAAAAAATTTGACATTTTGCTCAAATTCAATGTCGATCAAAGTCAACACTGGTCAAAGTCAACAGTCTAGGTCAAAATCAACGATTCAGTCAAAGTTAACAAGTAAGATCAATTCGAGTTGACTCGTTACTAGTTGTCTCAGCGTGAGATGACTTAGTTGACTCGGTTTAAATAACAGACCGGTTCAGTCTAATCTTGAAGGTTTAGCTTGGTCCAATCTAACTAGACCGATTCAAGAGACATCCTGACCGAGGAGGAGTCCCACACACAAGGGCAGTGCATGGGGAGCGTGCGCAGGTGAAAATGGGAGAGGTGATTGACCGATTACTCCAACTATGTTATCTGGCCTTAAACAACCATAATCCAACCAAAAATTAACCCAAAACTTGATGAAATAACTGAGGAAGAAAATAAGGCTTACCCCAACGACAGACGAAGAATTGATGGTGGTGAGGCGATGATCCTGGTCGGGATTTGGTCGGAAGGACACATGGATCTCAACGACGTAGATGGTAAGGCTATCGAACACCAAAATTGACCCAAAATCGACAAAATCAATGATGACAATTAGGGTTTCCAAAGATATTTCAAAAACCTTTTTACGATGATTGGTGATGCCTTACGATGGGGTAGTATAGTGGTTTTTATTGCACAACACCGACAAAAACGTTGTTAATTAAGACGGTTTAACGAAGCTTGAACGGTGAAGAGACGACAATGAAAAAACTAGAAAATTGGGGGGTTTAATTTTTAATGTTCAATTTGATTTCAACTGAAAAGGATCTTTTGGGGATTAAAACATCTTATCTTAAAAGGTTAAGATAATATTTTTATTATTTTTGGACACATATAGTGCCCTAGCCCATATGGCATGGCATGTGGCATTATGATTATTGGTCATGGTGTCAAACCATACTAACCACTCCTTTATTTTATTTATTTAATTTTCTTTGTTGAATAAAGATGGTAGAATTTATGGATGATTTTTTAAAATTCTCAAAATCAATCTCCGAAATTTAGTTAAATAAAATCAAATAAGAATCAAATTAAATTAGGGTGTTACAACTTATGTTACAGTTGAGCATGAAAATCATTCCTCTTGGTCTTGGTTTTTACAAATTATTGAATAAGACTTGTAGCTTACAAACTCCCATCATTATATCTTCATGTCAGAAAAGCATAAGGTAAAGTACCATCACTATACCCATAATTGATTGGGTGAAAAATAAGGACCCTTCGCAGTGGTCAAAGTCTCATTCCTCAAGAAGGTGTCATTCTGATATGCTCCTTAACAACTTGTGTGAGAGCTTCTAATAAGGTAAATCCAAAAATCTTAAATTAATTTTCACTTTAATCTAGTTAATTAATTAATTGTTTTTCTTTGTTAATATGATTTTAGAAGCAAGGGACAAACTAATTTTGACCATGATGGAGATGCTCATATCAAAGATAATGCAAAGAATTGGTACTAAGAAGGAAGTTTTTGAAAAGATTATTGGTCCAATTTGTCCCAAAATTAGAATATAGTTGACAATGCAATTGTGCAATCCGTAAGGTAATATCGGTTTTTCTATATTCTTTAAATGAAATTGTTTTTTTAATTTGGTTTGTACTTTTTTTATTTTTTATTATTTATATTATATTGGTTTGTATTGCTTTTTATTTTAAATTGTTTTTTATTTGTTCCAACATGTATGTATTTGTACTATTTTTTAATTTATAATGGTTTATATTGTATTGATTTATATTGCTTTTTAATTTGTAATTGTCTTTTATTGGTGTTTTTACCCAAAAATCACCCTAATATGAAATAAACCTTGATCAGACACCCTTTGCTCAAATATTCTCGATCTCAAACCCTTTTAAGATAAGGCACGTTTGGTGAAATGCGCCTATGTTGAGTTAGCCCTAAGGCATGTTTGGTGCGATGCATCTTTTTCCTTGTTACACGCCACGTGGAAGGCGCATCCCCTGGGGCGTGCTTTACCTGGGTTCTGGAAGGCGCATCCCCTAGGGAAAGCCTTTCCCTTCCACTTCCCACTCGTTCCCTCTTATTCCCTCTCCCTTCCCTATATAAAGCCTCTTCTCACCTCATACAAACCACACCAAAATTTCTTCTTCCTATCTATTACTTTATAATCTTTTAGGGTATATTGTTATTTCTTCTATTCAATAAATTTATTTTTATTTTACTTCTTATTTTTTTTATTTGATTATTTAATTGTAAGATTATTTATTTTATATTTATTTTCTACAGTTAAAAAATGGAAGGCGAGATGTTGTGATTGGATGCTCATCACATTTCGAGTCATTTTGCCAATACGGTAAGAATATGAAACTATATTCTTTTTAGATTTTTGAATATTAGGAAATCAGTCATATATTATTTAAATTATTAGAATTTATTTATTATAATTTATTTAAATAATTTTTGAAATATTAGTTCAAATTTTAATGGTTAGAATTTATTTATTAGGAAACTGATCGAATATTAGAAGTTTTTATTCGTAACAACAAGCTAAAAACACTGAGGCATATCTGGTAGTATTTATCTTTGGCTGGATTTGATTACTTATCAAAAATTGAAGGAGGTTGTAAACTTGAACCCACCCTTATTTTTGCATTAATCGAGAGGTGGAGATCAGAGACACGCACGTTCCATCTGCCATGTGGAGAGTGCACCATTACCTTGGAGGATGTTTCAATGCAGTTGAACCTGCTTGTAGATGGAACTACCAATTTTGGTGTGGCGGAAGATGATTGGGAGATTTTGTGCAAAGAGTATCTTGGAACTACCCCAACGGATTTCAACAGTGGTTGAATATCGTTAGGATGGTTGCAAAGAAATTTTAAAGAGTTGCGCAAAAATAGTTTTTAAGACGAGGCAAAACTGTTTGCCCAGGCATACATATTACAAATCATTGGAGGGATACTGATGCCCGACATGTCTAGGAACCATGTCCATTGTATGTTGTAGCGATATCCCATCTATTTTCATGTAGCCGACACGTTATGTTGGGGCTCTGCATGGTTGGCATTTTTGTTTAGATAAATGTGTCTGGCCATGAAATATAGTAAAACTGATATTGGCGGTTGTCTCATACTTCTCTAGTTGTAGGCAAGGTATTGCATACCATTTTTGTGTCCGATCGTGAATAAACCATTTGTCTTTCCATCACTATCGATGTAATTTCAATGCTAAATTTATTTTTAAATAATTTTTTGATTATTATATAATGACATATATATATATATATATATTAAATAGGTGGTTACCAAATAGAAAAGATCATCTTGATATCCCACAAGAATTATAAGATATATGATTACTCATTGACCAAAAAACTAGTGTAGAGGTACATTTTTTAATTTTTATTTTTCATTTAATTGTCTTTATATAATTTAAATCTCATTTAAATTTTGATAAGAAATATATATTTTTGTTTTAGTTCAAATGGTTGCCCTATTTGAACGATGAAATGAGGGCTTGCATCCCACCTGACTTGAGTGGGCAATTATATGTATGGGTGGTGGTTGATCCTCTTATTTGTTATGTTATTGTTGAGTGGCATCTGACTGATCATGTGCTTCGTCAGTTTGGTTTCAAACAATATATTCCTGAAGCAGCAAAAAATCTCAATAATATTCATAACATCGATAGACGGGGAAAAAAGAGGTTAATTGGTTGGTGAAGCATAGAGATTGGTTAGCGAGGTGGGAGAACGGGCATCAACGCTTGCCCCCTCAAGAGTATAAGTTAGAAACTTGTATCGTGGTTTCAGATGGCTATATTGAAAGGTTCAACGCAAATGAGAAGCTATTCTTACTTTTAGATGGAGCACGAGAGGGGTAATTCATCATCACCGAGAAAGACATCCAACGTCACAACATCATCGTCCCTCCACTCATGGAAAAAGAACAAATACATCCAAGTCATCCTTAGCTATGCCACCAGAACCATCACAATAGCAACCATCGACACCTGTTTACATCCATAGCTTGTCGGTTCAAATGCCACCGTCCCACTTTTATATGCCACCGTAGTAGGTTCAGATTCTATATCTGTCATCTCAGATGCCAGACCCACTGGTTTAGATTCCTTACCCGCATGACTACGTACAGAGCTCGTAGGGTTTTATGACACCCCCTAGCGGATATTATATGGCTATGTCTATGGATCCAACATTTACTTCACAGTATTGATCGTAGACATCAATGTCTGGTTTTTCACATTTTTTGCAGTTCTCAACAAGTGTTGGGATGGTTAGTTCTACTACTCTAGGTTCCTTATTCTATAAATGTCATGCATCATCATCCATGCCTTATCGAGAAAATGTATATGAGAGTGATGATGATGATGATGATGATGAAGATGACGATGATGATGAGAGTGAAGGTGAAGAGCAATCTCCTAGAAGAAACCCTCATCGAAGTAGACAACCACCACTATGTGGAACACATTCAAGGAGGCATCATAGATAACGTTAATGATATTTTCATTTATTGGTTTTTAGGTTTCCATCAAATGACATGAATTATGTTTTTACCTCTTATTTGGTTTCTTTATTATGTTTTTATATTAAGTTTTAGCCATATTTGTTTTTTTTTTATATTAAGTAAGTTTTTTTATTATTTGTAATGTTTACGTTAAGAAACTAAAAGAAATATATAGATATAAGAAAGGGATATCTTGTAAAATAAATAAGCTCAAATCACATTAATTGGTACTAAAAGAAAATGAAATACCATAAATTGAAACATTAGAAAATAGAATTACATGAGTAGTGGTCATCGATTACGTGATTACTGCAATGCCCATATCTTTTGTGTTCTTTCAATGTCTCTCGAATATCTATATCACAATGAATTCGAGTGAATTTTGGATGACCTGGCTCCATTAATAAGTTTGGATCTGGTATAATTAGAAGCCAAGTCTGAACCTCATTTGGGCCTTTTTATTAGGGAAACTCATATTCATATACCTTGAATACTTCTGAAAATTATTATATGATATCCACATAACGATTATATCCACAGTCATATCACCTCTCTCGTAGTTAACTCTGAAAGAGTTAGATTCAATCCCTTGAAGAGGTCGTGGCAATTCTGTGACACTAAATAATTCTTGGGTACGGGAAAAGCTTATCACAAACATTCTGTTTGATACTGTAATTTTATATTGTAGATCTGCTACTAATCTTGGGTGATAAACATGACCATTTTGCATCCAAGTAAGATCTTGACCCCTGAGCTTCGTAAAAAGTTGACCCAAATGAAAATATGTCGTTTTAGCCAAAGCAGTTACTAGTAAATGACGAGCCCCCTTAAAGGTTGAATTTATAGTCTCAGCTAAGTTGGTTGTCATATGTCTATATTGATATCCACCATCGTATGCATTTGTCCACTTTTCTTTATTAATTTCACTAATGTAATTGTATCCATGCTCATTTTTTCCTCACAATTCTTGGAGCATATCTTCGAACCTTTGAGGTAAGAGTTCGTAACTTAAGCTGCCATATGTACTAGTTAGTGTGATATAGAAATAGATAAGATGAAAATAATTTAAAATTAAGATTGAAAAAAGTAACAAACCCATGCATATAATTAATTGGCATTCACCATTCTTCTTGTATTTTTTGTGGTAGTTTGCAGCAATATGTCGGATACAAAGACGATGTTGGATGTGGGG